TGTCGTTGTTGCAGTGATTCTGAACAACAAAAATAACAAAGGATAATGCTTGTGTTTAAGAAGAGATTGATGAATGAAAAGCTGAATACTTTATTCATAACTGCAGCTCAATTTATAGAGCTGATACATAACAAACTCCTACGATCAAGGTCCTACATTCAAGCCATGATCAATTGATAATGGAAATAACAGAGCGGCGAAATAGCAGCAAGAACAAGAGAATAGGAACAAAATTGACCAAATCAAAAATTAAAGAAAGAATACAATTCCAGCTCAGCAGTCCTAAACATTATTTCTAACAATAACCTAGCTCCCATACTATTTGGATTTTTGAAACATCATCATCTTAGTAAAGTTAGAGGTTTATGTTGTTGATGACTGAACAGGCTGACAATTTGTAATCTAAATAGAAGTTCTTACAAGAGGATTAGCTGAGGTATGCTGCCTGACTTTCCTTCTTATATTAACTTCTTTAAGTTTAGCCTCATCGTTCTGACAACTTTTCGTTGATCATTCTGTACCCTTCCTACTTACAAAAGCTCATATGACTATCTTGTTGCTATAACTTATGAGAAATTTAAGGTGCTCAGATTAACTAAAGATATCCTATTAGTTACGAGCACCATAAAATTCTCCATGACTTTGTTTCAATTGCTTCAGGTCACTAACAAAATAAAATATGCTACAGAAAATTATAATCTTCATCCGCTCTTCCTGAATTTCACAAAGGTGCACATATTTTAACACTCGTAAGTCGTAATCTTTTGCTGAGTCTGGTTATTACTTTGAGGTGTGTGTCACCCACATGACCATTTCACTACTCCTATATTGGATGTTGGTCGTGGGATATATACAGCCTACTATATTCTTAGCTTGTGCAGTGATTTCAGAGATGTCTTGAAGACGAAATGAAGAGGCCGAGCATTGAGGGTTTGGTACAGACACGTTTTTACCTGTTGATGCAGTGCATTGAGTGTAAGCTAGGTAATGAAACATACATAGTTTGATGATTTCTTGATGGATCATAAAGCCCCGGAAATTTTAACAATTTCGATTTAAGTTGTGCTTTGTGTCGATCAATTAAGGACATTGAGATTTGGACCTCATATTGTTTGTTTTTGGATGACGGTAAACACGAAAAATGTCATTTCGAAAGTAAAGAGTTATAATTATTCCATATCGTGTTAATTTGATGCGTTTTTTCTTCTCATCATAGCTTTTCCCTCTTGCTTTTATGCATCACGAGTCCCCTATCAGCCTCAGTATGTAAGCTGGTGGATTTCAGCCTGTAACATGGATATGTTTGCTCAGTTACTTTGGCCGAAGGAAAGATAACTAGTGAAGACTAGGAAACAGTTTGTGAGGGAGAGAACACAACGATCCTTGCTCGAACATATCTATGCATTCAAAAAGAAAAAAAAACATATATTTAATCACCAAACAGGTTCTATACATTGGTTTTGTATGCTGCCAATGTAGCTGGCCAACAATTTCTTACCTTGTGAAAAGGTATCGGCACGGGACTCTTCTGCTATTTGCTCCAAGGATTGATACATGGAATAATGGCAAGTTGGTTAACAGATTAACAGCTATAACTAATCTGGGAAGGTATCTTTGATACTCCATGCTGCTCCTGTTCCCCGGTTAGGCTGTAGCTTATCTGATGATATATATGAACACCACCACCTACTCTGCATCCATCCACTTTCAGACAACTCTATGAGTGAAGTCCTTGAAAGATTTTCTGAGCATTCTTGTAAGTGGGCGTACAGATCGAGCCAAAGCAGACATAGTTGATGACAATATTGTTGTGGTTAACTGAACAAATAGATAGAGGTTGGATGGCACAATGCATGATAATGCAGTGCCATAAGTACAATACATAGCAAGCAGACATATTTGAAGCTCAAATTGCAAGGGGAATTTACTTGTGAGGACATAGAGCATGTAAAGAGACATGGAAAATCCAACTGAGTTGAAAAACACAAACAGCATAAAACCAACTGTGTTTGTGGTAGCCATAATGGACTGACCTGCAAAGTGTGCAGTGTTACTGCTGGTAATATTTTTTTGGTCAGGTATGTTTGTATCTTGCCAAACACCTCCTGGAGGGCCGACTCCAACTTGAAACGTTGCAGTTGCAACCAAAACAGCTATAACTAGTAGTGCACCGCGAGCTTCGCTTGGTGAATCCCTATCCTTCTTAAACTTGAAGTACTCTACAAAGTTATCTCGGTTTGACCAGCATCTCTCTGGTGTTGAGGGGTTGTCGGTAGAGGTTTGGGTGTTGGTAACAGTAGAGGGGACAGTATCTCTTGCTCTCATTGCTCCAGCACTTCGAAGGATCTCAACAATTTCTCTATCCCCTGCTTCGCTTGGGAAAAGTAGTATCACGTCGAGGGCGGTGATGCCAGTATGGTTAATGGCATTCACTTCCAACAAGCCTGTACTTACAGATCCACCTCCAAGAAATATTTCTATCACCTGCAAGGATAACATCTCTTACTTTCGCATATTTCTGAAAGAGCTAAATCTTAAGACAGTGGTCAAATTACTGCAAAGTTTGATGACTATCTGCAGGGGTCATGCTCAAGTGTTGATAAGTTATCTCTGTTGGCATGTTGGCCATCTCCCAACATTTGCAAGACCTTAGGTTTGATTCTAGTAAGCTTAAAAAGAAAAAGATGATGCATAACTGCTACTAATTTGGAAACAAAACTGCATTCTTTAGATGAAGTGCTGTAACCCCCGATCCTTGAGAACCTAAGTCCTAAAATTGATGGTGGCAAGATATATATGGGCCACTTCAATTGCAGAATAAAAATAGATATGTGATTTTTGGAGATCAGACTCTTAGAATGTGGAGGCAGATTGCTTTCTTGGTCTCGAAACTTCTCTACTTCATCATTTGTGTTTGCTTGGTCTGATCAGAAATCTCAGCCTCAGGTTACAAGTGGAAATCCCTTTTCTGTTTGGAATGGACCGAGATGTATATATATACTCCCATTTGGTTGTAATATAGAAATTCCACCTAGTGATGGGGTTGGTGCTAATCTCTCTTTCAACAGCATGAACTCAAGATGTCTTGGGAGAAAAGTTTCCACTTTAACAAATGTAAGTATGAGCCATCTAAAATCTTCTCTAATGATTATTCTTAATTATGTCACAGGGTCTAGGTTAGAAGAAACATCTGAAAATGAACACCCAATAGTTCACCTATCCTGCTTCCATAGTCCTAGAAAGCAACTTTATTTTAGTACACGTTTTGAATAATAGCCTAATGGCAGGTATCGAAGTCAACACCTGATTGTCCTTCCCCACCAGAAAATCATCACGAAAAAAAGTCAATGGATCTTCAGGTTTGATGGGGTGATCAATAGGCGAAAATAAACAGAGGAAATCAAGGAATTCTGCACTTCTGCATTACCTAGGACTCTGTGAGTTTAGCTTGAAATCAAATGTGCAAGTGTAACTAGTTTTGAGCAGTGAACCTTACCAACCATATGAGCTAGTGAGTACCGGGAATCAGAAAGGAAAAGGGTCGGAGAAGAATTTGTTACCCGACGTTGTTTCTTCCAGCTTGCAAGGTGAAAAACTGTATTCCCTTGTTCATCCTTCATGTTCAGCAAGTATTCCTTGTTCATTTCTCTGATCCAATCCACCAACTTCTTGATTGCTTCAAATCTGTTATTCCTGACTGCAAGGTGCAAAGCAGTCTCCCTTCGTTCAGTCTCATCTTCGATACAATCAGGACAACCCGAAAGCATTAGACCGATCACCTCAGCCCTCCCTCTGATAGCAGCGTGGTGAAAAGGAGTCATTTTCTGTCTTCCCTCTAATCGGCAGAGTTTGATGTCGACTTCCATTATCTCCTTCACTATCTCAACCTGGCCATTATCTGCAGCTATATGCATAGGACTAAAGCCTTCTTGATTCACTTCTCTGGCAAAAACTGGTTTCAACCTTATAATCTCCTTCACAAAGTCAACGTGCCCCATAGCAGCAGCAATGTTCAAGGGATTCTCGGCAGATAACTGTGTGTTGTTGAGGATAAATGGATTTTCTGCCAGCAACTGCTGCAAATAATCAATGTTTCCTGTTTGAGCAGCCTCAAACAGCCTTGTATCCATTGTATGATGATGCAGTGACCTTTGCTGAAAGTCTATGTTTTAAGGTGCTGACTCTATAAATAAGGGTTGAAGAAGAAATCTCGTGGGAAGAAGAAATCCATTTCCTATAATTTTCTTGGAAGAAATCATTTTATCTTATTATGTAAGGTCGTCATTGTGAAAAACACATAGGATTACACCACTAAACGCCTCTAAAATTCCAATACAATTTACCAATGAAACTGAAAATACTTCAATCAGCTGGCCGATCCTTTGGAAATCATATTTGTGTGGAAATTAAAAGTTCTTGGGAGCCACTATTGTGTAAAAAAGTGGCAATGGATACACATGTTGTAAGTTTAATAATGCTGCTTCTTTGAATTATTAGAAGCTAGCTGCCTCAGATGATGACTTCATGAAACAGTAGAAATTATGGTCGGTCTATATATAATTTGAAGAACAAATAAAACCAATATCATATATGTTGCGTATTTGACCTGGAAAACTTGGAAATGAATATGATATTAAAAATGTGATCTGCTCCTATCAACAGCCCTTGTAAATCCATGCTCCTACTGATTATTTTAAGTAGCAAGTGTTGATGATTATCAATTCTACTCTATAAGATACATGATGTCCACCATTATGAGTCTCGTTGGTGTATGCAGTGCTACTGGGTTCAATTTCCTTCTGAGTTTTGAGGGAAAGATTTTAAATCTTCATTAGCCAGCCTTGGTTTGATGCTTTTTCTTGTCAGTATCCTTCCAAGGGAGAGTGTTTTTGTTTTTTAAATTTTCTTTATGTTTTTATTTTTGATAATCAGAATTAATTTGAAAAAAACATGGTACAGAACAATTCTGCTGCAGGGTCCTTTATCACTGATCATTAAGCTGCAAGCAACTAATAGGTGAAGGATGACATAGAACTTCAGAAACAAAACAGAAAATAGTGCAGCTATAAACTAAGTAAAAAACTTGAAACAGAACAACAATGCCGAGCCAAGATCACCAAGCACATAAATCCTTGCAATTGAATAGCTGTTGAGCCTACAAGAGCAACACTAAGTTGGGCCTCTTCCTCTCACAGCTCAAAATGAATATTCCTTGTTGCTCGTGTCCAGTAATCATTTCAACAATGGCATACTGTCATGATAATTGTGTGATCCGTGTCCAAGTTGAGCAGGAGAGAAAAGGAAGGCTTTGTTTCAGGCAAGGCACTGGTCATGGTGGGCTCTGTGATACTTTCAGGCAAGGCACTGGTCATGGTGGGCTATGTGATACGATTAAAAAATTGATATCTTTTTTTAAGTATAGGAGTGTCAAAGTAATAAATAATTCGATAAGACCAGGGTCAAACCACAAGGAGGTTAATTGTATAAATTA